ACTTTCCTGGGGGGACCCACTTTGTGGGTGTATAACTTGGACGTCTGAAACCCAGTCTTCACCAACCTGGGAGAGATTGTAGAGGAGAGTCAAAAAGAAGCTTCTCTGTGATTTTTGCGTCTCTAGATGCCTGGGGGAAACTTTCCTGGAGGGGGCACTACTCACGAGTGCATAACTCAGATGTCTGAAACCCCAACTTCACCAAACTTGCAGCATTTGTAGAGGAGAGAAAGGGGAAGCTCGCCCGAAACTTGGGTGTCTCTAAGTTCTTTGGAAGTCATTTAATAGGGTTCTAAATAAAAAATGAATTGATTAATTGATTTGTCAGAAAAAATCATTAATTCGTAATTCGTCAATCTTGGCAAACTGCATATCAAACCAAATCACATTTTTAATTTATTTATGCCCATCTCTAGTTGAAGGCAAACCAAAGCAGCAGTTCACACTGCAAGCAGATCCCATAAAGAGCTAACAAGTTTACTACAGGCTGTTTTAACTTGAACTGGGAGACTGCCTCCTGTTTAGAGACGCAAACACAAATTTAAAAAGTACGTGAGACTCACCCTTTGAGAGTCGGATTTGGCTGTTCGATTCCCACTATCCAAAGCAAGGCAGAATAAAAACTCATGTAAAGCTTCTTCCGTTTTCCCAAGGTTAGCGAGGGCTTGGCCTTTCCGTAAGTGACCCTATGGGCAGGGAAAGAGTTGGCATCATCTATTCCTAAAGTACTTCAGCATCTGATGTGCAATAATAACTGCATCTGTACAACACTGTTACCAGCATGATAGCACACTAACTCTTACAGCTCCAATCAGTGCACTTTCCCTGAACTACAGGGCAGAATTCCAAGCTACTTGCCAAACTATAGATCACAGGATTCCAGAGAATGGAAATGTGGCCGTTAAAACAATATGAAGTTGCTATAACTGTGGTATGTAAATACTTCCAGGTGTGCCAACCTGGCAGAGGAGATGGCATGCAGAGACTCTGAATGTAAAAGGCCTCCTGCAGGATACACATGGACACCTCACCCCCCAGCAATTTACAGTCCTCAGAAGGATGGAAGGCTGAGTGAACCTCGAGCCAGCCGTCTGGGACAGAACTTGGGTTTTGAGCAGAGTTTTGGCTGCACTACTGCAGTTTAACCACTGCACCACAAGGCGTCTTATAAGAAGCCTATAAGATAGGAATGTACCGTGTTTCCCTGAAAACAAGGCAGAGTCTTATATTAGTTTTTGCTCCAAAAACATGTGGGCTTATTTTCAGGGGATGTTTTGTTTTTCATGTACAATCATCTACATTTATTCAAATACCATCATGTCATCTTCTTCTGGTGGCTGAACAAGGATGGAGGGCGGGTTTTCACTTAACTGGGGCTTAGTTTTGGGGTAGGGCTTATATGACGAGCATCCTGAAAAATCATACTAGGGCTTATTTTCAGGGAAACATCATATCCTTATCTTTATATTACAGACTGCAGCTGTGGGCTGCAACCAGGGTGGATTTGATTAAAATCAAACTGATTCAAATTACAATTTAAATTTCAAAAAAATCAGCTCTTTTTTTACAAATTTAAATCTAAAATTGATTTGATTTTTTAAAAAAAAATAATTGATTTTCCTCCACCCTGGCTGCAACTGAGAAGGAAATGTGTGTTTAATGCCACCAGGTGGGCTGATAAGAGAGGCAAGATACAAACCAGAGGGGTGGGCAATTAATTTCTATAGGGGGGGGGCACATGAAAAATCTGAACTGTGTTCGGAGGCCGAACCAACTTTACTTAAAAATAAAATGAAACAGTGATGTCATGATTGTTTTTATTTTAAACTTGTTCATATTCACAAATACTAAAGAGGTTTTTGCAGTATGTTAAAGATAAGCAACTGATCAACTTTAGACAAAAAGCTATAAATGGTTTTGATGTTCAAAACTGTCCACGGGCCGGACAGGAGTGGCTCGCGGGCCGTATGTGGCCCTCAGGCCGCACTTTGTCCAGGTCTGAACCAGACACTTCTTGATTTATAACCAGTCCCTATGTCACTCTAGCTGGTCCATGGGGAGTGAGACTGCTTAAAGTAAACAGGTAAGAAATCTGTCCTCTGAAGATGCCGGCCACAGAGACTGGTGAAACGTCAGGAAGAACAACCTTCAGAACACGGCCAAGGAGCCTGAAAAACCCAGAACAACCAATCAACCATAAACTAGGTAGAAAACTTTTTCCTCTCCTCCTTTAAGGCCACAAGTTAACCAGAAAGAATTAAGATGCTTGTGGACTAGTAACTTGCATAGCCATATCTGTACGACCTCCACAACCAAGGCATTCTTCATTTGAAAAATTATTTCACTCCATCACCCAGCATCTACTGGCATGTCTCATAGTGCTGTTTAAAGAATTCTGAACCAAGACACAGAATAAGGCAGAGACTGGCAGTCGCTAGTTACAAGCCTTACGTTATTTGCAATGATATGCAATATATTCTCTCTTTTAGCATTACAGCACTACTACATTACATTTAGACTGCAGCACGAATTCACTTCTCCTGCAGTACAAGGGCAAATGTTTTAAAGTGATTATTGCTTTTTAAAGGAAACCCTGCAAACTCTGGAAAGGCACAGGGCATTTAGTCCAGCTGCGACACAGCCTGTGCCGAACAGCAAATTACATAAAAAGACGGAAACCTGGACGGGACCCACCTTCGCCCAATACGGCTGGAGCCGACAGGCCATTTCTGCGTCATCCAGTGCTTCTCTGCAACACTTCAAGGTAGAATTAATCTGGGACCGGTTGCTATATAACAAATGATCTCTGGGAGCTGAAAGTAATGGAAACATTGACTCAGTGCAACAATCAAAACAAACCATCACCATTCCTATCCAAGGAGGCACGATGTTTCAGGATCACTCTGTTCCTCCGTTCTTTCGGTTCAAAATTAACTAAGGGGCCTCTTGTGCCTGGGAAGTGACTTTACAAGAGTCGGTGCATTTATCTTACTCAGCCACTCTGAGAGTTGCATAAATGTGCGAGGTGCCAAAAGAATATAGAAGATCACGCTGTTCTTGGGAACTGGGGGCGGGAAAAAGGCTTTGCCATTAACTGCACCAAAGGGCAGGAATGAACTACCAGAATACTGACATTTCGCTGCAGAAGCTGCTGCTAGTGAAAAGGGTTTTTGAAAACACCGTTCAAAAGCTCTAATCAACAGAGAGATAGGTAAGTCGGTAGATACCTTATGTAATATAAATTCTGCGTACTGTATATGAATTACAGGAAACGTGCCCCTAAACTTCTCCTGCAACGTGAAATGTTAAAAGCACAAAATGTTTTAAGGATAGCATGTTAAATAAGAAGGTAAACAGGCTTCGCACATGGAATTCCTCTTTTCTTTTTAATTAAAAGCCCAAGACCCCACAATAGGAGCCGAGTGCAAAAGACACAGACTTCAAATGAAAATTTGTGAGCCCAGGAACTTATTTTGAAGCAGAACTGGACAAGAGGCTATTGTCTTTCTAAACAACAAGAGCAAAAACCCCACCCCACTTTTTCTTCTCCTCTGTGTTAAACAGCAACAATCAAGATACAGTCAGGAAATAAATTCTACAATGGATGGATTTCAATTGTTGCCCCAGGGCCAGCATCTCAGCTAAAAGACCCACAACTTTATCATTTAGAGCTATATTCCATATTTCACTATACCATTCATCCGTTTGAAATTCAGATTTTGATGATATTTAATGATAAATTAACTTGTAATTTAAAGGTTAAGAAAGAGGGTTGAAAAAGAATAGTTTTTATGAAATATGGGGCAGAATTTTTGGATTCTGAGGAAAGGGGAAAGCTCCAAATCAAGAATCAATGCAGTTCTGGAGAACAGAACAATAAAAGAAGAAGAATATAAATGGAGGAAGAAGATTATAGCAAGAGGTCTTGTCTACGGTGGTGGGGAACACAGTTATATTGTAGTTTGATTTGTGTATTTTATGTTTATGTTTATATTTTAGATAAATATTTTTTTAAAAAAAGACCCAGACTTTGAGTTGTTTGCTCCCACAACGGGTGCTCCCTCTACAGCAAACACCTGAGGTATTTATTTATTGAATAAGCATATTTTTATGCCACCTTTCTCCTTAAAACGGACCCAAGGCAGCTGACATCATTAAAAAGACAATGTTTGAAAGCAAAAACAGTAAGTACTCAAATATATTTTAAAAAATAGTAAATTTACAAATGTTTAAAAAGAATCAAACAAATATTATATTAAGAACAGTAGATAAAATCAATACTAAAAATATATTTAACAGCAACAAGGTACAACAACCCATTAAAAAAAAAATCTCCCAGACAACCAGTCACTAAGGGAAAACATTAAAAGGTAAATGAGGCAAAAGTAAAGGAACGATTTTCATCTTGACCTTAATGGAAAGGTTTAACCTCCCATCACTACCTTCCAATTTAATATAATGTATGGTTTGGGAGAAAATAGGCTTTAAAGGTTTTATGAATGGAAATCATTCACACTGGGAAGGGCATTTGACCAGTAACACATCCATGAGGAAGCAGGAAGAAATTATTTTGGCCAAAACATTGTACTCTGACAGCCAGGAAAAGTTACTTTTAGAACTAGAATTGCCAAAATCTTCCCAGATTGCTTAACCACTGGCTTGGGGGGGGCATTCTGGAAAAGGAACACTTCCAGACTTATTGGGTAGCTTTCCCCCCCCATCAATGTAAATAAAGAAAAGGCTACACACACACACCCCCAAAAATTGCTCATTTAAAGAGGCATGTTGTGCTCAAGCAACAGAAAACGTCCATTCTTCTTGAAGGTTCCACACATTGCTAGAGGAATATTGAAAGCCCATTTTGGCAGCATTAGTCATTTCTAAGAGCTATATAAAATAATCGCTGCACGCTAGAGAGAGCCGGGCTTGGGAAGGGCAGGGAGGTTTTCTTTCCAGGGAAAAGATGGCAATAAATCAGATCTGCAATTCCTGTCAAGGGAGAGCCTGGGGGCCATCAATCCATCAGTGGCTCCTTGGCGAGACTGGCACAGATCCCTTTCGGAAACACGACCCATTTCTCCCTCACTTCCCTCTTGTTATACAACCATTCCATAGGAGGGGAGGGCAGGGACTTCTGGTCCGGCAACCGACCTTACGCAACACACAGAGAGAAAGAGAGAGAGAGAGAGAGAGAGAGAGAGAGAGAGAGAGAGACAGAGAGAGCTCTCCTGACCTACTTTCACTTTGGACCAAACCCACAAGACTTTTGTGAAAGTTCAGGAAAAAGCACCTTTTTTCTCAGGTAAAGGCTGCGGGGTGTGGGTGGGTGCCTGACAAGACCCATCACGCAGCAAGGAGGTGTGCTTCCCTGTTTGTCCCTGCTGGGGTAAAAATAAATGGGTCTCATCCTGGTAAAGGAGGTCTTTGGCGCCTTCGCTGATCTTACGCTTGGCTGGGAGACAAAGCCGAACAGGAAGTCTCACCTCAGCTGAGATAACTCAGCACCAAATCCGGGAACAGAGGCTGAGATGGTCTCCGTCCCATGAGAATGCGACCCTTTACCGTTTCAAGATACCTTGCCTTTTGGCAGCGCTCCCAAAGGGGAAATCCATGCGACAGGGCTGACCCCAGACACTGAGCTGCCTGAGACTAAAACAGCCCAACTCACGGGGCACAGTAAGGAAAAGGCAGCCAAATCAGGTTGAGACAGGAAAGCAGAAATGGCTGTCGGTTCTTCTCCTTCCTCCCTAGCAGGAAAAGTCACAATGAGAAGCCGCAGCAGAGTGACTCCCCTACAAGATCCCTGCCGCTTGGGCGCCTGAATTAACGGAGCAGGGCGGCCGCGCACGCCCCCCCCTCCAGATGGCCTCCTGTGTGTTATGTGAGAGGGTAAGGAAGGGTTTTGCCACAAGTGGGGCCAAAAGGCTGTTGGTACAGGTCTTCACCCCTTCACCCCACTCCCTGCCAGGACACAATCCACTCAGGTCCTGAGGTTGATCCAGATGCAAGAGTTGTTGAGAAACCAGCAGGCATCTCTTCAAAAGCTCTCCAGGAGCTCATCAGATGAAGTTTTTACCCACTGCGTTTTCTCCTGGGCCAAGAAGAGAGAAAGCCTGTTGGTTCTCTGCCTGACACGCTGCAAACAGGGACACCGCAGCAAAAGCAGCGAGGGGAAGAAGGGTTGTCTCAAAACCAACAACAACAGCTGGCAACTTGTGCCCTTCGGCAAAATCTATAAGTGGCAAGGAGAGGAAAGAGGTAAAGAGAGACGAGAGGAGAGACTCCCAACCTGCACCTTCCTTTTGGAAAGAGCACAGCAGCCCAAAGAGGGGAGCCTGGGAACGCTTAAGCACCAACCGAGGTTTCACAGAAACAAGGCTTTCCTCCCTCAAGGTGAGGAAGAGCAGGCATATTCTGTTGCCAGTCGGCCGGAGAGGAGAAGGCAGATGCCAGCAATGCTGCTCAGGTCAACCCGCAAAAAGAAAGAGGCCTTTTCTAGACTCTGCATCTACAATTCTAGAGGAATTGGTTATGGCAGAGAGAAAGAGAGAGAAAGAGAAAGTTAAAGGAGGGACACTGTCTTGAGGGGGCTGGAATGCTATGCAGAGCCCAGAAACTCTTTCTTTCTTTCTTTCTTTCTTTCTTTCTTTCTTTCTTTCTTTCTTTCTTTCTTTCTTTTCTTGGATTGCAATTCTCAGAATTCTCCAGTCAGGTGGATGGGGACAAAAAGAAAGAGATCTTTTCTAGACTCTGCATCTGATTCTAGAGGAACTGGTTATGGCAGAGAGAGAGAAAGAGAGAGAGAGAGAATTTAAGGAGGGACACTGTCTCGAGGGGGCTGGAATGCTACGCAGAGCCCAGAAACTCTTTCTTTCTCTCTCTCTTTCTTTTCTTGGATTGCAACTCTCAGAATTCTCCAGTCAGCTGGATGGGGGATTCCAAAAACACATAGTATTCCCAATCTCTGGTGTCGAGCAGTGGCAGCGTAAGTGAAGGCAGGGCCCTAAAAACAAAAGCTGCAGGATTTTCTCTAACCAGCAGGAACAAGGTCTTTTCACATCCACAACCGGAGATTTCTTTCTTCCCTTGAAGTTCCATCGCAATCTGCCCGGTCGTTGAGGGGGAAGGAACGGATTTTCGCAGGGAGTGCATAACTGTTCCAAAGCGATCCCTCTCATCAGGCCAAGTTATTTGAGGGTGGGTTTGTCTTGGGTAGTGAAGAGCTATTAGAGCTACAAAAGACCTGCTTCTCATTCGTTGACACGGCCTAATCCCTGTAGGGCTCTCCTGGAGAGGATTAGTTGATTACGGGGCAGCACCTGCACTTCCAAACTGATTCCTCAGCACGCACACACACATACACACACACACACACACACAGAGCCTAATCCCGGCTCTCCTGGAGAGGATTAGTTGATTACGGGGCAGCACCTGCATTTCCAAACTGACTCCTCAGCACAGACACACACACACACACAGATAAACCTCCCGATCCCCGGGCGCGGAGTTACCTAAGCGCACCGCTTCGTCGTACTTCTGGAGAGCCGCCCGGAGCTGCTTCTCCTGGTACAGGAGGTTCCCTTCGTGCCGGAGCCGCGACGCCTTGACTTGCCCGGGAAACCACTTCGCCAGCAGGTTGCTGAGGACGACGTTGACCCGGAGCCGGGCGGGCCGGGCGCCGGGGAGGGCCGGGCAGAGGTCGCATCCGGCGGGGCCGCCCGGGCTGGCCTCCCTTTCCAGGCACTTCTTGCAGAAGGTGTGGCCGCACAGCAGCGAGACGGGCTCGTAGAGGAAGCCGTGGCACTTGGGGCACCCGAGGGAGGCTCCGGGCTCCCGGTCCCGCTCCCGGCCCGGCGGGGCCCCTTTGCCGGCCCGGAGGCGGCGCGCCAGGCGCTC